AAGACCTGGAGAGGACAGGAGCTCCACAAAGACCAAATATATCTGGGCACGGAGGCTTGTCTGAGACTGATTCTCCAACCAGGGACCATGCATGGATATAACCTAGAACCTTTGCTCAGATGTAGTCCATGGCAGCTCAGTATCCAAGTGGGTACCCTAGTAAGGGGAACAGGGACTGTCTTTAGCATGAACTCTGTAGCTAGCTCTTTGGCCTCCCCACCCCCCGTGGGAGGAGCAACATAGCTAGGCCACAGAGGAGAACATTGCAGCCAGTCCTGGTGAGACCTGATAAGCTAGGGTCCGATGGAAGGGGAGAAGGACTTCCCCTATCAGTGGACTTAGAGAGGGGCAGGGAGGAGATGAGAGAGGGAGGGTGGGACTGAGAGGGAATGAGGGAGGGGGCTACAGCTGGGATACAAAGTAAATAAACTGTAATTAATATAAAAAATAAAAAGAAAAAAGTTTTTCTGCCTATTTTTAAGAATTTCGGCTAATCCTACTAGAAATGAAAAGAAAATACACAGTTATATAATGCCTACCAACCTGCAAAGCCTGAAATATTGTTATAGACTGTTTTATTTCTCCCTAACTTGGATCTCTCGTCATCAACCTTTTATTGCCCATCTACAGTCTTTGTTTCTTGAGGAGTAGAACAGAAGATTAGGTGATAGCTGTCACCACTATACAGAAACGTGAGAAACTTTCTGTGCATGTATTTGCTCTTGGGTGCGCGTAAACAGAGCTCTCAGCTCCAAGGGGCAGCAGCACAGCTATCGAATGAGACCTACAGGTAGCAAAAACTTTCTTCCTGCCATCATCAACTATATTTTCAGCACACTATTAACAATGGTGAGGGAGGAGATGAGGGAGAGAGGATGGGGTTGGGAGGGATTGAGGGAGCAGGATACAGCTGGGATACAAAGTTAATAAAATGTAATTAATATAAAAAAATAAAAATGGAAAAAATGTTAAATAGTAAAAAAATAAAATAAAAAAGCAGCTGAAAATAAAAAAACAAAACAAAACAAAAAAAAAAACAATGCAAGCAATAAGCAAATGGGATAATACCCTAGAGAAATCACTGCCCAGAGGAAAGTAAATGCTGAAACATGTTTTTCTAGGGGTGTTGTATCTATGCAAGTAATTTCCACCAGAGCAGACTGCTCACAGATAAAAATAATCTACCCTGTGTTTGCTGCACAGAGATAGTTGGAAAACCAGAGTGGTCTGAATTGTGGACACCACGAAAACCACAGATCCAGGCCACAACAGCCATATTCCAGGGAAATTTGAGTGCATGAAATTCCCATAGTGCAGGGGTCAGCAGATAGTACTAACAGGGTCATAGGTCATCAGTGTCAGAAGGACAGTGTGGAGCCAGTCACTAAGCAATGTAGAAATGGATCACACAGTACAGCTGATGGTCTTCTCTGGGCCTTTGAAGTTCTAGACCATCTGGGGGACAACACTTGTCATGAAACAGGTCTAGGAAGGAGAAGTTGGAAGTACATGGGTATGTGGAGCTTGGAGTTCAATAATGACACAAATATGATCATTTTGTTTTCTGTCAGTGTCACAGTGTCGATGACAGAGGTGGCCAGAAGAACTGAGTACAGCTATGAGAGAAGTCTGGTAAACTGAAACATTCTGCCCTGCTGAAATTGAACCCCATTGTTTATTTGAGTCATCTTTCTTTTTTTATTAACTTATTTTTAATATATTTTTAATTACAATTTATTCACTTTGTATCTCAGCTGTAGCCCCCTCCCCGATTCCCTTCCAAATCCACCATCCCTTCCTCTTCTCCACTCTTGCTCCTCCCCCAGTCCACTGATAGGGGAGGTCCTCCTCCCCTACCATCTCACCCTAGCCTATCAGGTCTCATCAGGACTGGCTGTATTGTCTTCCTCTGTGGCCTGGTAAGACTGTTTCCCCACCTCAGGGGCAGGTGATCAAAGCACCAGGCACTGAGTTCATTTCAGAGACAGTCCCTGTTCCCCTTACTAGGGTCCCCACTTGGAGACTGAGCTGCCATGGGCTACATCTGTGCAGAGGTTCTAGGTTATATCCATACATGGTCCTTGGTTGGAGTACCAGTCTCAGAAAAGATCCCTGTGCCCAGATTTTTTGGTTCTATTGCTCTCTTTGTAGAGCTCCTGTCCCTTCCTGTCCCCCTTCTTTCATAAAATTTCCTGCATTCTGCCCAAAGCTTGGCTATGAGTCTCAGCATCTGCTTCAATACCCTGGTGGGTAGAGTCTTTCAGAGGCCCTCTGTGGTAGGCTCATGTCCTGTTCCATGTTTTCTCCCTCTTCCCATATCATCCCATTTGCCTTTCTGAATGAGGATTGTCCATTTTACCCAGGGTCCTCCTTCTTACTTAGCTTCTTTAGGTGTACAGATTTTAGTATGTTTGTCCTATATTATATGTCTAATATCCACTTATAAATGAGTATATACTCTGTGTGTCTTTTGATCTACAGATTCAATGCAATCCCTATCAACTGTGTTTTTATATGAAACTAGCATATACATTTTGCCTTTGCTATTTCACAATTTGCATATACCTTTTGTTTCATAAATGGGTCATTAAAATTTTTGTATTATTTTACATCTGTATTTTATTTTTCTCTTTTAACCACACTGCTGAAATAGTTTATTCAGCTTGTTCTCTTTGATTGGTTATACTATCTGAATTTCTTCTCACAGGAATAAAATCAGAATTATTAAGAAAGATGACTCACTCACTCCTAGATCTGTAGATCAATTTTGGAAGAATGTTAATTTCAGAATACTAACTCTACTAATCCATGAGCATGGAAAATCTTTCCATCTTGTGGTAGCTTCTTTGATTTTTTTGTTTTTAGCATCTTAAATTTTTCATTGAGAAGTCACTCACTGTTTTAGATTTCTTCCAAGATATTTTTAAAACTATTGTGAATGGTATTTTTTTCTGATTTCTTTCTCAGTTTATTTGGTCATCTATATAAAGGAAGGATACTAATTTGTATATGTTATTTTTGTATCCTGCTACTTAGATGAATGCTTATCAGTTGTATGAGTTTTCTTTTAGAGTATTTTATATGTCAAATAATAATATTTGTAAATAAGATAATTTGACTTCTTCTTGTTTTACATACATACCTTTGATGGCCTTTAATTGTCTTATTGACCTTGCTAAGATATTAAGCACTATGTTGAATAGAAAGTGAGAGAGTGGACAAACGATATCCTTGTCTTATTCCTGAATTTAGAGGAAATGCCTTGAGTGTTTCTTCTGTTTAGGTTAAATATGAATGGCTATTGATAATTGATAATTTCTGAGACTAAAAAATTTAGTTTTCCTTAAGGATGTACTGAAACATACTCCAGTGGATGGTGACACGTGACAGAGTATACAGTAGCACTAATTGGCCTAAATGGGTTTTAAAAACATAAGGACACAAACTTAGGTGAATATGGACTTGGCAGTAGATATGGGAGGAGTTGAAAGAAACATAGGATCAAAATATAATGTATTAAATCTCCAAGAACTAATAAGATTATGTATTAAAACCACATATGAAACATGTTCCAAGCTGTCTAATGATGTCATATACAGCTCATTTGTGTGATCACTGTGAACAAGCAGTGAACTGAGAGCAAAGTGATGACCACAGGTACAGATTGTGTGAAATACACAAGATATGTACATACACCAGAATATATACAGGATACAGAAGATATACACATACAC